GGAGGCAGAGCCTTTAGCTATCAAGCTCCTCTCCTATGGAACCAACTCCCAGTCTCAGTTCGGGAGGCGGACACCCTCTCTACCTAAGATTGGCTTAAGACGTTCCTTTTGATAAAGCTTATAGTTAGGGTTGGATCAGGTGACCCTGAGATTTCTCTTAGTAATGCTGCTATAGGCCTAGGCTGCTGGGGGGGCCCCATGATGCTCTGAGTTTCTTTCCCCTCCCCTCCTGCTCTGTTCTGCTCTCCTGTCCTCTCCTCCCCATGCTTCTATATGCCACCATTACACATTACTAACTTTGTGTCTCCTCTCTCTCGTAGTGTGTCCTCTCTCTCTCCCTGTACCTTTCTGCAGGTTGCCCTGGCCCTGGAGCTCTACGTCTCTGACGAGCAGTCACCAGCCACATCGACCTGATCAGTGTTTGATTGTTGTGTCTTGTTGCTTTTCTTCTTTTGTCTCTCTTCTATCCACTCACCCCAACCGGTTGAGGCAGAAGGCCGCCCACCAAGAGCCGGGGTCTGTCAGAGGTTTCTTCCGTTAAAGGGAGTTTTTCCTCCCCACTGTCGCCAAGTGCTTGCTCAAGGGGGATTTGTTGGGTTTTCCCTATGTAATAATAGTGATAACAGTAAGGTCTAGACCTTACTTTGTAAAGTGTCCTGAGATTACTTTTGTTGTGATTTGGTGCTATACAAATAAAATTTGATTTGATTTGATATTTGCTGTATAACCAGAGGCGTGAGTGCACTCGGGGTTATGTTGAATATGCCGCTGTATGATTTATTCAACAACTTCTCACACGGAGCCTCTACACTGTTATGACTGGTGCATCTACCTGAGGACATTTTTCTAGCATTACAGACCTCATGTCTCCCCCCTGGTGTCTCCTAGCACAACGGGAGCATTACTTCAAAGACACAGGACAAACTGTGTGTGTACTGAGGGGGTGTTACTTTGAAGCTGGTTCACACTGTCATCATAAATCACTGCAACAGCTGTGAAACAAAATTGCTTCGTGTGGAGCATCAGAGAGTTCTTGACATTTGTTTTCTGTTTGACTGAAAAACATAAGCTCACTACAGTTCTTCAGAAATATATGGTGCTGGTACAATTGACCCGTGTGCTCTGTGTTCATGGTCGTGTTTCTGCATTCTGCTTGGCTGTGCATCAGGTTTGGAGCGTTTGTTGGCAGATGGAGACGGTGACCTGATGAGACAATCAATGACACTGTTTGCAGCTGTTTATTTCAGGTAAATCTGGTTCAACTCGCACAAATATGTTACAGGGATTAGTGCTGTTATCACTAAACACCAGCAAATTGTCTAGACAGCTGACGTGCACATTTTTGATTAGAGGAGTTCAACCTTCATTAACAACTTTGTGTACTTCTCATAATATTTTGTATAAATGCGACTTACTGAGGATGTTTGCTGTATTTTCAGTTGTGATGTCTATCTCTGGCTCAGTGAAATACTCTGACGCCACACATCTGCCCTTCTCTGGTCCTGAGGGAGAAAATAAATTACAAAGTGAGAAGAAAAGAATGAAGAGAGAAAGTGAGAGGATTCTGTTGTTTGGTTGGGTCATAAAGGTGGAAATATTTGCATATGGTAATTAAACTACAGTAAAAAAACAGCAGAGGTTAAAAAATGCATTAGAGACTGAACAACAAAGGGGACAAAGAGATTTAGAGGTTGAATGTAAAGAGAGGTGAGAGGAGGTAAAGTAACACCAAAGGAGATGATGGAAAAAGCAAACCAGGAAGGCAGAGAATGGAAGTGAGGGAAAAGCGAAATATGCCACATTCAGACAACAAGTGTCTCCAATCTAGTTGTTTTTTTCCTTCCCAGCGGCTCAGATCTGGTGTGTCCATAGCAGTGTGAACAGACCAGACCAGATGTCCTCAGACCCGATCTGGGCCACCTGCATATGTGCTCCTAGACTCGATTCCTCTCTGACTGTGCAGCGCCATCAGAACAGTCAGATCAGAATCCATGTGGTCTTTTTAACATCTCCTCCTCTGCACATACGGCCTGTCGTCATCATTCGGTGTTGGCCCCTCACAAACTGGTAACGATACACATGGAGGAGAGTGACGACAGCGACAGGGTCAGTGGAGAGACCAGGATGTTTCATATGTGGTGGATGTTTATGGAGAAGCTTCTGATCAGGCCAAACTGGAAGGAACATATCGTAACCCAGTGGTTTGGGAGAAAACCGGGCCGTTTGACCGTTGCACACACGACCTGGTTGTTATTCCTGTGTGTACGTGGCTCACATTTCAGTTACACCTGTGCATGTGTAGTAGTTTAGGAGCTCAGCGGTGTTCACACCAGAGCTGGGTACACGGCACTGACACATGTGAATGTGAACCATGAACAGAAAAAAAAAAACTGAATCTGGCAAAAAAGTCAAATTGAGCATTAAGGCCTGTGATTTTAAACAGTGTTAGAGGCAGAGACAGAAGAAGGTCAGAAGGTTCAGGAGAAAAAGTCTGAGTCTAGAGAGAGAGAAGAGCTGAATAATGACCCTGATTAACCTCAGACTGTAGGCTCAGGGAGAGAAGACACACACACACACACACACACACAATTGTTCCAAATGCCAGCAGCATTTTCCTCTTTTGACCTTTTGTACCAGGCGTCAGACAACAGGGAAACACAAAGACGGACGTCTCCCTAGAGCAACACCACCGTGACCCAAAACACAGAGACGGCTGCTGCACTAAGCACCGCTGTTTGTATCGGGGGGGGGCCAAAATTCAACAAGAACTGACACACTTCCTCACAGACACTCTCATTGTCAGTGCACAAATCTGAATATGATCTTTGGCTATAAATAATCCCATCTGATGTCAGGTTAGGACCATAATGGTCCTCTAATGTCAGCAAGTTTGACAGCTCAACACCATGGACTGGTAAATACCACTGATACTGTATGTCAGTCAGCAATAAAAACACAAAGACTGAGTCAAGTTTCAGGAGCATTTTACCAAATATGTGTTAATATGAACTCAGTGAGTGTTTCAGTATGACATGATCTCACTGGTTCCAGTCTCCAGCGGTATTTCTGCGGTCCGGATGCAAGATGTTCACACTGAAGTGAATTCATTGCTCATGTCATGATGTTTTTAATCACTGACCTGCCACAAAGCAGACCCTCCAGAGGCCAGAGTGCAGCGCCATCTTGACCTCGGTGGTCTGGTTCTGCTGCAGGACGATTCCCTCCTCCATCAGAAGCCAGTAGTCTGTTGACACAGCAACGCCCACCAGCAGCAAACCACAGGCCCCGAAAACCGACGAGAGCAACGTCAGAGCCCTTGTACTGAAGGAACTCATCTGAGGAGGAGGAGGAGAAAACAATCACACTGATCAGAGGTGGTGGCGATTGTTCCAGCAGGGACCAGCCTGAACACAGGGGGAGAAATGGACATCAGAACAGAGGGAAGCATTCAGATAATTTAATGGTTAGACATGTAGAGGAATAAAAACCAAAACACCCTGAGAAAGAAGAGGTGACAGGAGAACAGAGATTTATTTAACTTATTCATTTTGAATGTTAAAATATGCACGCACAGAGCAGGGACGTATGAAAATGAAGGGTTCTGATTTGAATCCGTCTTGACTTTCATGGACTTCAGCTGTTAAATATGTAATATTGGACAGCAGAGAGATGAAAGATGGGAGGGGAGGAGACCCATGGAGTGAAGAACAACCCCAGATGAACTAAACCACTTTTATATTGAAAATATAAAAATTCAGTTCAGTAGCAACAGAACAAAGCGGTTCTCATCATCACAGTTTTTAAAGGGAGAGCACAGTAATGGTATCAGAATGATTATCTGCCTTAAACCTACACTGAACGCTAGTCCTTCTGGGACAAGGGGGACAAATGACTCTAATACTTTCCTTTCTGGAATAACAGGTATCCAAACACAGAGATGTTCAGTTTATTGGTGCCTGCAGCAAGAGCAGTGTGAACTCTGGGTGCAGTCACTGATAAATAATTAATCATCTTTTGCCGGGAGAATCATAATCATAAACCAGTGTAATCCAGAGAGAAATGACATTTCAGGTTTCAATTCTCAGACTTGAATGTAAATCAAAATGCTAATTGTTTCCTAGGAGGTAAAAAAAAAAACCCACATGATGTAGAAGTCATAATGTTAAGTAAAAACTATTATGATATGGTGTAGAGTGTCGAGTCTTGGTTTTGTTCTTGTTCCCAGATTACATAAATACCAGTTTTGTCCATGGTCACAGCTGTAACATCTGTGTTGAAACCTCATGGGACCTACTGCTGAGTGTGTCAGGCTGAAATAACATGCAGTGCAGGCTGAGACTCACTAGGTGGCAGAGACGCTGCCTCTGCTGTTCATCATCTCAGCTGTGGACACAACGAGAAACATCTCTTTCTCACACACACACACACACACAGCCACTGATCCAACCAGTCAGAATGGAGGTCACATTCACCGTGCTGTGGTCTGAAGCATCGTGGGCTGCTGCTGGAGACAAGCTGCAGCTCTGCTCCAACACAGAGGAAGACTGGGACACTTTGGGGACTCTGAGCAACAACAATCATCGGTCCCCATATATCTCTCACACCATCCTTGTTGTAGATTATAGACAATTCAATGAAAGAATTCAGTAATTCAATAAAACAAGCTGTGGGCATTTATAAAATACAGATAGTGTGCAGAGCTGTCAGTAAACAACATGACGAGCATTGCAGAAGCTTCCTCTGGGCATTAATAAAGTACTCAATCTATCTGGCAGCACTGGACACAATATTATCAATATCCTTGTTCATGCCAAAGCTGAGCTGTGATGGCACAGCCATTTTTTGGTCTTTTGCCTCTCTTTGCCTCATACACAGTTTTGTGTCGTTCAGCCTGTTTGTTTCTGGGCTTAGGGGAGTTTGCGACTTTACAGGCTCTGCATCTGTTAAGTATTTTTGCCATTTAAAAGATTTATTACAGTACTCTTTGTTTTTCAAAAGGGATCATTTGTATGTTCTTTGTTTAGCTTTTTGGCTCTACAATAACACTCTTATTGTTGTTAAAATGGAGAGTAATGATAAATATTTTTAGATCTGGAGCTTAAAAAGCAAACTGCAAAAACAAACTCATTTTAATTTATTTCCCATTTTAATACCCTCAGAGTACCAGTCAGAGAACAGGTCAACTTGCTGAACTGAAGCAGAATTTGAATAAACTCCAGCTCCTCGGGGCTTCAGGTCCTGCATTTACAAAGTTTACAAAGCTTGCTATTTATGTATGAACTCATTTCCTCTAGAGTTTCCCTTTATATAGCAATTTACATTTTAATGAAAATGTCTCTACAGTGGCCTGTTTTAAGACGATCCTCGCAATTAAACTATTTTTTAATGTATTGCTAAAGATAAATGACATTCGAAACAAGTTGTTGAAGGCAGCTCGGTATCTGTTAAAATGTTTACGAGGCTGAGGAGAAGCTGATAAGAGAACAGCCGAGAACGGACTCAGCAGACAAGATCAGAACCAAACAGATAAGCAACAAAAAGGAAGCTGCTGTCAGGCAAGAAGAGGGAGAGGAGTGACCTCATCACTCAAGCAAGACATCGCCAATCACATCCAGTGGCATGAGAGAGGTTCTGCACACTCAGACATGAGTCACCTGCTACAAATATTTGATATGGCAAAACAGCCCTCACCTTGAGTGTGCGCAGCCAATCAGAAATGCCCTGCAGGGATGACGGCAGGCATGTGGTGTGCACAAGCATATACAGTAGATATATCACATACATAAGTGTATAACCACACAAACACACAGCGTTCTGGTTTCCGACTGCTGGGATGACATCAAACAACACGAAAACTCGCTTGAGCTTGTGAATAAGTCATGAATTTTTTAAATGCATAATAAGCTTATGTGTGTGTTTGTGGTGGGAGTCAGACTGTGCAGCCTTTATTATTTTTCTCAGGCAACACATGAATTTTAAAGCAGGGTCTACAACTAAATACACATTCCTAAAATATATCAAACCCACAGCACAACATGCAGTGAGTCAGAAGAGTGAACAGAGGAGAAGGCGATCCTGGCTGATCGCCTTCTCTGAATAAGGCAAAGGTGGTTTCTGTTTGTCTCATGTAAATAAGCATCGGTCTTCGTGCTGGAAATGTCAGGCTCAACATGAGAGGCGTCAAACGCTCAGTGCTGCTGAGACAAAACACACTGATCCAGCCGAGAACTTTCAGATGCTTCATTCAGTTTGGTAATTTCAAAAATCCAGAAACTGTGGAACTGCATTACTGTAATTGAAAAATGATTTGACCTTTGGATGGATGAACACAGCATCTGCATCTACAGTAAAACCTGCACAAATAAATCAAATCAAATCAAATTTTATTTGCATAGCACCAAATCACAACAAAAGTCATCTCAGGACACTTTACAAAGTAAGGTCTAAGGTCTAGACCTTACTGTTATCAATATTATTACATAGGGAAAACCCAACAAATCCCCCTTGAGCAGCACTTGGCGACAGTGGGGAGGAAAAACTCCCTTTAACGGAAGAAACCTCCGACAGACCCCGGCTCTTGGTGGGCGGCCTTCTGCCTCGACCGGTTGGGGTGAGTGGATAGAGGAGAGACAAAAGAAGAAAAGCAACAAAAGGTACAGGGAGAGAGAGAGGACACACTACGGGAGAGAGGAGACACAAAGTTAGTAATGTGTAATGGTGACATATAGAAGCATAGGGAGAGAGAGGAAAGGAGAGAGAGGAGGGGAGGGGAGAGAAACTCAGAGCATCATGGGCCCCCCAGCAGTCTAGGCCTATAGCAGCATAACTAAGGGAAGGCTCAGGGTCACCTGATCCAGCCCTAACTATAAGCTTTATCAAAAAGGAACGTCTTAAGGATTAACTGGAGGCTTTTTAGAGAATTATTGGGACATCCTGATAGTAAAGATAATAAATAATCTAATGTCCAATTCTGGTTGTGTTAGTGCTTTGCACGGTTTTTTTCCCAACAGTGGCTTTAAATCTATAAAGAGAGAAGCTATGGTGAAAATGTGGGTTTGGAGGACAGGACTGTTGTGATGGGTCAGTGCACACACACACACACACACACACACACACACTTGAGCTGATAGCCATGAGGTTTCCTTTACAGTTTAAGCCAAGAGAATTTACCACAGGTCCCAGGTTACACCAGCTGCTAACTGTGCCTGTAATGAATTACAGATGGCTGGAGCAGTGGGGCTTAGTCAAAAACAGAGGCAATGATGTTGGGAAGGAGTGAGGGAAGGTGGATTTTTGTAAGGAAGGATGGAGGACAGATAGTGGAGAAGGAAAGGCAGAAGAGGAGATGTGGGCAGAAAAGATGATAGGAGGTAAAAAGGAGGACAGATAGTAGATTGGAAGTTCGCACCAGAAGCAGGGAATGAGTGAGTAATGAGGGGGAAACTGAAGAAAGACTAAAGTGGTAGAAGGAGAACAACTGAAAGTCAGAGGGGGAGAGGAAGAGGGCAAAGGTGGAAAGGATGGAAAGTGAAAGGAAGGAAAAGGCAAACAGAGAGCAGGGGATAAAAGAAAAAACTAAAATCTCTAAACGTGTGCATGAAGGAGCGTGTTCAGCGCAGCAGCGAGCAGCAGGGCGGGGAGCTGTCCACCCCTGTGGTGCTGAAGTCCTGGCTACACTCCACCGTCCTCATTCTCCTCTCCCCTGGCAAAACGTTCGCCGTCTCTTCCACCCATTCATCTCCTCTCTCCATCTGTGTCCCAGGGCCAGACATGCTCTGCTCTTCAGACCACCTGAACTTAGTTTCAATTTTGCTTCAAACCAGAGAAGCCAAATGGCAGCAATCTGAGCTCTACTTTTGATTCTGGAAATTAAATACATCAGCTTTAAATAAGTGCCCTCTTGACAACACCATGACCTATTTTCTGTACAGCACTTAGACTGGCTTTGCTTGTATGGTTACCTTCACCTGACAAGGACGCCTTCTCCTTTCTAGCTGAGAAGTAGCAGGATGTTGTTGCTGTGCTGGAAATCCTCTTAGATGGAAGCTGAGGGACTGTTTGTTAGCATCCTGTCACCTGCCATCTGTCAGTGCTGATTCCTTCATGTGAAAACATACATACATCGGTCCACTGTCCGCTACACAGTTCCCAATACAAACTATATATTTTTAGATGTAAACATCTATTATTCACAGTCTTATTTGTTGGATATGCACTTCTCCGGTTTCCCCTCACTAGATCAGCTTCAGAGAGTCGAGAGGCGACAGCACAGAGGAGAAGATGGAGCTTTTCTTGCTCAAGGGGCCTTTACCAGAGCAAATGCTCACTGTCGTTC